GGCTGCAATTTTCTGTGAGTGCAGGACAAGCATGCACACCTGCGTATCCATGGTTATGTGGACGACGTCATGAAACAGCTGATGGAGCTGCTGGGACTGGAAATCCCAAAGTGGGATGGACCAACTGTCTGCGAGAGCTCCACAGCTACCACTGAGACCACCGCCGATGTCAAACCACCGCCTGGAGTTACTGCGAAGGAAAAGGTGGAAAAGAACTTTGTTAAGGAGGAGAGGAAAAGAGAAGCTTCACAGCTAACGGACGATGGAAGCGTTAAGGAGGAGACAGTTTCAGTAAAGAGGGAGAGAGCGGACCTCCCAGTGGAGATAAATGAAGAGAAATAGCCTCAGGTGCTCTTTCTGAAAAGCACGCCACAAACCCGTCCACAACAGAACCTCACAGCCGAAGGTGATTTGAGCTGTTTCACGGAAGTCAGAGCTTCTTCTCATCTGGAACAAAGACTTTTCTAGTGCTGTAGTGGGTTTTTTAATCAGAGATTTCTGACACTCCCCTTGCTGTCATGTTAAGCGGCGATGTGAAACTGATGCAGCTCGAGCCTGAACGAACTCTTGAGTTACAGAGAGGATGTAAAAGTTCCTCCTGCCACAGTATGGGGCATCTCGGGCAACAAGGTGTTTTGCTTTAGTTGGAGAGCAGGGCTGTTGCAGGTGGGATAATGAGATGAGATCTGGAACACTTCATGACAAATATAGTTTTAATCAGGTTTGTAAGATAGCTGCACCATATTAAAGCTTTATTCATAGCCATGTGCTCCAGATCTCATCCCTGGAGACCTTGTCTCTAAAGACTCTTTAGTTCAGTAGATAATGAAAAGGAGAAAGCAAGCAAACATTTAGAAAATATGAATAACAAGTATCTACTTTGAGTTGAGGGAAATTTCAGTTTTGATTCATAATCATGCTGTATATTTTTAGGAAAATATTTATAACTCAGGATAAAAGTACTGTGCTCTCAGTTTGTTTGTTTGTTTCATACAGTTTGTATATGTTTTGACAATAAACACCAAAAAATCTGTGGAACAATCTGTATACAGTGTTGCTTAGTGGAGATCAGCATTTGAGAGAACCTGGACTAAGCTGTGCTGTGCTGGGATAGTGTGTGACTAATTGTGTTTGCTGTGATTTTACACCTCTGAGGTCAACATTTAAACACTTTAGTAATGTTCAGATTCTCTCTAATTGTGTATCGCTGCTTTATGAATGAATGCTGTTATAAGGTCTATGGCAGAAATGACCTCAGTGACGAAAGGAGAGAAGAACATCTGTTTTTTTTTCCCCACCCCCACCTAAGTCAAATCGGTGCTGCATCTGGATTGCACTTACCTTCTCTATTTTATGAAGCCAGAATATCCATTTTGTGTAATGGGTCACAGGTGTTTGCAAAGGTAGATAATTACTGCGGCAGACGTGTGGCTGCTTGGCTGTTTCAGTCCATTAAGGCACTTGATCTGACACACACAGAAGCAACAAATGTTAAAGCTAAAAACACAACAGCTGCAGACACAATGGCATACACTTAAACTGCCTGAATGTGAACGGATCATTAGACACACCTAATGCCTTTACTGTCTACCTCTATTTAAATGTGTTTTAATCATGTCTACTCGAGAGATGTCCACATGACCTCTTTTTACCTTCAGAACTGCCTGTGGCTTAGATTCAACAAGGTATAGTAAACTCACTCATGTTTAAGAGACCAGTGCAACAGGCAACATTTCTCCAATTTTTCATTGTCCAATTTAGTGAGCATGTGTAACCTGTGTCATGAAATCAATATCCTTTTTTGCTGTGAAAGTGAAATTTAATTTTTATAGTTCAAAGGGCAAAAAAATACATTAAAAAAGCTTTTTAACCAACGCAAACGAGAAGCATTCAAAAAGGTCCAGGATTCCACTTAAAAATCAAAACGCTGAAACCATGAAGGGACTGAATTTAATCACACGTTTTTTAGTTTGTCAGGAACTTCACTGGTTTGCATAGGAATATTCTGAGAGGCAGTAATACAATCCAATAAAACTTAAATTTACCCAAATCCACCTTGTAGCCACACCTTGCTTGACAGTTTTGTTTCACTCAAGTTGAAGTGGTCTAATGTTCAATAAAACCTGCGCTTCTAAACCAGGAATAACAGATCTTGCTTAGATGAGCTCAGCTGGGTGGAGTCTGATTTATGGATTCCCAGAACTTCATGATTTTTTTTTTCAGCAGCAGCTTTTCATCCTCTTGATTTCAGCGACAGGGATGCTGCTCAGAGAATCGGAGCCCTGATGTGACGATAAGTAGCCAGTCAGCGAGAGCGTATTTGTATCCAGGGCAAAGGCAGCAAAATACCACATTAAAAATGTTGATATAATGAAGTCTGAAGAACACTTTTCCATTGTAATTCAAAGTGCTTCATTTAGAAGAGAGCAGGCACACCATCAGGGGTGGTAGCTTCATGCTGTGAGGAAGCATTTCACTGGTAGTTACTGGGAAAGGGCTTTTAAGGAAAGTGAGAGCAACCAATAATGGCAGCAAAAGTCAGAAAACCCTGCTACAGACTTTCAAAAATATATATACAGTCAGGGAGTTCATGCTCTCTTGTGCTTGTCACACAAAAGCAGGCGAGCAAATCGTGGAACCAGAGTCTACAGCTGCTTTAGAGAAGCTCCACGTTCAGTATAACCGAGCTCAGGTGAGTCTCAGAGGAAGAACGGAGAAGCTGTAACCATTGTTACTGAGAATGACATCAAGAAAGACAGAAACTAAATGTGATTGAGATACTGGAAATTCTTTAAAGCCTGAAGTACCGCTGACTTTGAGCAGGATGTGCTTAGACAGGTTTCACTACTGCAAATATGTTATTTCATCAGAGCCTCAACAGTCACGAGTTTATCAGAAGCTTTATCTGTTGACAAAGCCTGATAACGTACCGTCATGCGTCATAAAGCTTCCTTTTATCCATTTTCAGGCCCAGCTTCCCTCTTTCTGCATCATGGCATCCTCTCCGATGAAGAAATTAATCAACTTTTTCTCAGTTGGAGGCATTTATCCATGAATTCACAAAAACATTTATCTTATGCCAAACTGAAAAAGGATGGGGAATTTTATAAGGCACTAAACTGATGTTTCAGTCCATCAGTGGAGATTTTTTTTTGTTCTGTGCCCTGATTGAGTTGGCACCAATTAAAGGCTTGATGACCCTTTTATCCTCACATTGGATTTATTTGATGTCATTATTTCATAAACAATTTCAGACACTTGTGTGGGAGACAGAGGAAAAGGACTTTGTTGAAAACCATTTTAGGAAGTCGCCTTTTAATTATAAAATAATTGAGTCACGTCTCTCACTGCTGCATCCGGATTCGTTATTACGGCTCCTGGAGGATCACTCCCCTGAGAGGGCTGTTCTTGTTTTTTCCTGCTTACGCTGGAACACAGTGTTCCTCGCATAATATCAAAGATAACTGCAAATTTAATTTACCGTCATGGCCCATGAAGCCGCACATTGGTGGAGATAACTATGGTCTTAAAAGTGCTATTACAGATGATGCTTTCGCAGACAGAGAATAACACTGAAGATTAGATTGCTAAATAATCAGTGCAAACATAATCTCGAGCTGTTTGTGAAGTTTTGCCTGTGTGCACCACTGCAGTGGGGTTTACATCAAACAATCAAGATGTGATTGAAGTGCAGACTTTCATCTTTAATTCAAGGAGCTTAACACAAATTTGGAATTGAATGTTCAGGAATTACAGACATTTTTATTTGCAGTTCTCCATTTTCAGAGGCTGAGCATTAACTAGATAAACTAAGATAATTTTAAACGTAAGGATTGTTTTTAATACTTAGATGAAAAATAATTTGCAGTCAATGACTTTCTGAAATTTAAAATCCATGGAAGTCACCAAACGCTCTGTTTCCTCCCTTGAGATTCTCTGCCAGACTTTCAGTTTGCTTGTTTGTGAGTCTCTCTCTGCCTCTTCAGGAACTGAAAACGTCACTCTGTTGGACTGAGATCTCGGCTTGGCCATTGAGAAATATCCCATTGCTTTGAGAAACTCTTTGATTGCTTTTGCAGTTTGTTTTTGGTCATTATCCTTTTGCACGGTGAAGCTCTGTCTGATCAGCTGACCAGTGCATTTCTCCTTTTTCAGGATGAACCACACTGTTGATTTGGTCACTCAAAAAGTTTCTGCTGTCTGTCTGAAAATGTTATTGGGGGTTTTCAACCTAATGATGAACTTCACTTGCACTGTCATCTCTTTGGTCCTCACATTTAGAATTACAGTGAAAAACTATACAGATTCTTTGTCATGGCTTCACCGGGTCATGAAACTGTGAGAAGTATGTGCAGCAATTTATTTGAATATACGCAAACATGCATGGAAATACAGTTTATAAAGCAAAAACAGAGTTTGCACAGTTCTAATGTTGAACTCCGGGATCTGGGGAAGCTAATCCATTACTGATGTTGCACTTTTGTGTTTGTGTTTTGAAGCTGTTGCCAGTCATAGCTTTCCAGATGGTATTACAAGACTGATGAAAATCTGAGGAGGCTTTTCTGTATTCATAATTACATTAATTTTGACAAGATCTCCATCAGATGAGTCTCTCCAGTGCTGTGTCAGGTCTTTGCTGGATTTCCCCCCCTATTTGCTAAGGAGGTGACTTTCAGATACTGATCATCTGCTGTAGATGAAGTCTATCTTCAAGTTCTTCTTTTGTCCTCGTCTTGTCCAATTTCCTCCAATGTTTTAAGGATACGGTGCACACCATGGTGCCATGGTCTTTGGGAGTCACCTTGTTGGCGCAAAAATATTATTTTATGCCCGTCAGAGAAAAGAAATGGGAACAGCTTTGAAAGCTCTTCGGAAAGTTTGGAGAATTATTACTCAAGACCACTTTAAAGAATTAAGTAAGTCTGGAAGTACAAAGAAATCAGGTGGCTCAAGACTTTTACACTGTACTGCACTTGACCTTGAAACTGGAGTGTTCAGCAGGATCAGATTCTTCATCATGATGATGATAAAAAGTTGATGAACACATTTTCAGGTTAAGTTAACATCAGCTTTAGTTTTCTGAAAAATTGATGGTGAAATCTGTTTCCCATGCAACACATATAAATCTATGATTAATATTTGTCCTTACGTTTGCATTTTTAAGCATTATGGTTCCTCTGAGCTCAAACTGTGTCTCTGTGATTTCAAACAACCACTGAATCCAGCTATGGAGTCCATTATTTTCTACTTTGCACATTATTCTTTTGACATTATCTAAATCCTCTTTTTTTTTAAGCATGCTGCTCGCTTCATATCTGATGGTGTTACGATCCTTGTAGCTTTCTTCTGCAGCACATAAGCTGTGTTAATGTTTGTGTCCACCTGGGAAATAAACTTGTCACTTGTTATAAATCAGTAATCCAAGAAGGCCATATGTGGACACTTACGGATGACACTTCCTCAAGTGGTTTTCATCAGCAGGACTGTGAAATTCCTCTCCGTACAGCACTTGAAGATGAATAGCCGAGCACGCGTGCTTTGTACCCTGTTGTTTTAGATGTTTTTCTGTGAACTGGCTCTGAAATAGAAAGTCCCACCAGGGTCTGAGTGGATGAACTGTAGCTGCTGTGGCTGTTGTTTTGCTCTCGATGAGTTGTGAAGTGAGTTCTTCTCAAGGAGCCTTTCAAATAACAGAAGACTTTTTTGTGCTTAATAACAGTGCATAGTCAGAGTAAGGATCTCGAGTAGATAGCACTTGTGATTGTTGCTGTTCTCAGCTGGAAGATGCAGGCTCCCTTGGTGACCCGACAGCAACATCATAGCTCACAGAGAGCCTGCTGAATGAATCAGGCAAGTAATTATTGATGTAAGAAGCAGGGCTGGGAAATAATTACAACCACAGTGGCGCACAATGAAAACGGTGTGGTGGAGCTCATGTGTATGTGTGTGTGTGTGGTATTTGTATGTCAGGAACTGTCTGCGAGTGGCTGAAGATAGTTTTCCGTTCAAAATTTAAAGGTTGCTAAAGGGCAAAAACGTGCAAGAGCCTTTGTGTGGCTGACTCGTTTACCTTGTCTTCGCGATGCCGCAGGAGAGATTAACTTTCCCGAGATGTCACCAAACTCTTGTTCTCCTGTTTTATTTAATGTCACAGCACACACGTGTATTCACAAAACAATTCACAGCAGGACAGGAAATCAGACACAGAGGCGAGCATCAAACATTGAATGTGAATGCCAAAATGTCCTGGAGACGAGTTTCTCCGGCAGATTCCTGCGCGGTGGATTAATTAGCAGCAATAACACAAGAAAATATTTCACACGTTAATCCTGATGAAACTGTAACAAGTCCTCATAATGGTCTCTGTGGGGAATTAAGACGCAAAGTACAAACAAATCATTTTGGAGATCATCTATTCAAACATCAAACAGCAGTGAAAAAGAAACAGGCCACAGGCTGATTGAACAGTTTAACAATGGACATAACGCCCAAAGTCTCTTGTAGTATTTTTGCAAATAGTTTTTTTCACAGAAGTGCATAACAAAAATAAAACATACACACGGGTGCTGCATTAGAGGAAAGACATGAGCCCTTCACTCCTGCAGAAAAAGGAACTGGTTGGCTCTGTGATGCTATGGGGGGCAATTTGGCCCACTGCTCCCACTTGCAGCCAGTAAGGATTATACACCTTTATTCTTTTGTTAAACAAGGTTATGCTATCTTCAAGGATGACAGGGCCCCACCAAAATTGCAGATGAATATGAAAATGATGTGAGTCATGCACTGTGAATTTTCCAGTCACTAGATTTCAACCAAAGCTCTCAGAGAAGCAAGCCTAACTACTCTGTAACCTTGAAGCACCTCTGGACACACTTCGGGGGGAGTTATTAGAAAGCACAGGCTAAATTAATTAATTCATCACCCCATAAGACCTGTTGCACTTGTTGTGTAATTTGGCATACCTCAGCCTTCCCTCGCTGCTTTCCTTTCTTAAGAATATCTTATTTGCTTCAGCTGAAGAAATGGGAACACATGATGTGTTTTTGCAACAGGATGCTAGTAACAAAGTGCTAAAGATACAATTTAAACTAGTTCTTTGCTAATTGTCTGTTAGGTGTAGACACAACATTGGTTTATTCCTTGAGTTAGATGTGTTTTAAACTCGAGTGATTCACAGGTCAGTGTTAAGTGGCTTAAAGAAAACAAACAAACACTCCTCTGAAAATGGTCAGGTTCAAGGACTCTACTGAAAATGAGTGAGAAGCAGACAACTCTAAGAAAGATTATGAAATAATTTTTAAAGCCTAAGTTAATTAACTCAAATTTGAATGGTTACCAGTGCACAGGAACTACATATATAGAATTACCAGATGAAACCTATTTAAAATGGTTAAAAGGCTTACTAACTTTGGCTCATTAAAGTTTTAAAGACCTTTTTTCCCGTAAAAATGATACTTCTACAATCTTTGCTGTTGCAGAATTTGCTGCAAGATTTGCTTAAAAAGTCTCTGTTTGAGTCAGATTTTAGACTGATTTATTAGTTGGTACTCATGATTATGTTCCAGAGACCTTGAGAATCAATGACAAACCTCCTGCTTGAACAGAGTGGCCTTATGCCTTACTTCAACACTTTATTTCTTCTTTTAATATGTCACGCATGACACCAAAGGAATATGGCATACAGAGTTGAATTACAAAGCAAATATTTAACATTTGGCAGAATATTCGTAATGGCTTTCTTGCTAACATTTAGATGATGTGCGTTCTATTTATGAGACTACAATCAGCGGCCGTTTAGCCTAGCTTAGCACAAAGACTGGGGAGAGATGGAAACAGCTAGACTGATTTAGCACAGAAAGTGACCAAATTCACCTTCCAGCACCCCTGAAGCACACACAATCAAAATACATTTAACTGTGTTTGCAAAAATGTCAGGCTATTCTCTTGCTCTGAATAAATCACATATTAATGTCTTTATGTATCATAACCATGCTGGGCGGTGCTTCCTCCACTCTCCTTCCCCTCAGGGACAGAGAGAAAACATGCTGCACTGCATGAGAAATTCTCAGGAGAAGCTCCTTTAGGCCAGTTCTGTACTCTTTTCTGATCAGGCAGTAAAGCACTGGGTTCAGACAGCTGTTAGCATGAGCCAGGCACACAGTCAGGGGGAACGCATAGGCCTGGGTGTTGTAGAAGGCTTTGCTGAAGGGCACCAAGTCAAATTTGATCAGCACCCCCCACAAGGTGAGGGCCTGGTTGGGCAGCCAGCAGATGAAAAAGGAGAGAACTACGATAGTGACGGAGCGGGTCACTTTGGATCGGCGGCGGTGGCGGCCTCTCTCACACTCAGATTTCTCGGTGGCACTCCCGGTTACCATGCTGCACACAATGCGCCGGCTCAGGATAAACCTCAGCAGGAGGAGGTAGCACACAGAGATGATAATAAGGGGAACCACAAAACCCAGAAGGACCTTCTGTGTTTGATAGAGTCCCAGCAGGACTTGGGGGTCCCAGTGAGCGGAGTCGGAGTCAGAGAAGCGAACCAAGCAGAGCTCGTCATCTGCAGAAACCTGGAAACATAAATAGGGAGATCAGAGGATCCTTATCCAAAACACAGAGCATGCACTGTAGGTAGACTAGTTGTGGAGTACTGATTCAACAAACCTGGACAGTGGTGGAGTAGAAAGCATGAGGCAGTGTGGCCACCAGAGACACCACCCAAATGGCTGAGCTGGCCCACTTGGCCCGAGCGGTGGCGCTCCTTGGGCTCTCCATCTTCAGAGCTGTAACCAGGGAGCGGTAGCGTGTCACGCTCATGGCGGTGAGAAAGAAGACACTGGCGTACATGTTCATGGTGGTGACCGAGCTCACGATCTTGCACATGACCTGCCCAAAGGGCCAGCGGAAGTCCAGCAGCGTGTCCACGGCCCAGAAGGGCAAGGTGAGGACGAACTGGAGGTCTGTGAGAGCCAAGCTCATCACAAAGCAGTCAATGGAGGAGTGGTGGTATCCACGGCGACGGGAGTGAAGCAAGAAGAGTGCCAGGAAGTTACCCACGAGCCCCAGAACACATACAACCAGATAAACCAGGGCAATGACAACTCGTACCTGTCACACACACACATACATGTTTTGTGCTTGAAGGGTGTTTTCAGTAAACATAACTGAAAACAAAAATCTGAGACTTTTCCAACCTGATAATTTAAAGCTTCTGGGAGTAAAAAACGTGGAAGTGTATTCAACCTGCATTCTTTCTAATGTTCTAATGCCTGGTCTATGGGGGGAAAGTCACAAATAGACTATTGAGTCTATTTTTTGTCTCAAATGCTAGTTTTAAGATCACTATATGCAAATAATATTTATTTTATAATTATTTCAAGTCCAAAAAGATGACAAAGCAGATTATTCTTTAGGGTGGGTGTCCTTTCAAAAAGCTCAGATGACACTTTGTGAAAACATTGGGCTCCAGACTTACCAAACCAATGAGTGGCATGGTGGCAATGTCATCTTTTATATACAGTTTATGCTACAGAGTGCTGCAATAATAAATGGTAAGATATTTTAAGCTAAAACATATTCTGAAGATGTGGGACTTGTTTAAAAAAATGGTATAACCTTTAATGTCAGAATAAAGAAACAACATTATCTCCAAGATTCATGCACAATTACCGTTTCATTTTTTATTAATCTGATCCAACTGGACTTGTAGAAAAAAAACAAAAAACAAACAAACAAGAAGGTAAGCAAACCTACTGCCAGATTGGCGCTGTCTCCGTGCAGATCCAACGAGGACTCCTGAGAGAGTATGTGAAGCCAGCAGTTTAATGAGAGGTTAAAAGAGGAGGCTGCACCCGTAGGGCTGACCAGTTCGGAGATTTTGCGCTCATCCTCTTCCCCTCCGCACAGCCCTGTCAGAGCTCCAGAGGAGCTGCTGTTGTCGACCTGCATGACTCGGCTGCAGGCGGGGAAGGGAAAAGAGGGCGAGCTACTTCGCAAAACTATCCACTTCTTCCACCGGGATAACTTCGAGATCGCAGGTGCGCAGGTGCGGCTTCAAAAATCCCCATCTCTTTCTCCTCATGCATTCAGTATTATAAGAGATCAGAGCTCCAAAATGCGCGTTTCTTCTTCTTCTTCTTTTGCTTGAATCTTTTGTTTGTTTGTGGTTTCCAGTCGGAAATGTCTGAGATATTGAAAAAACAAAAGAAAGAGCTGATTAATCCGCATCCACCTACTTTGGCGCGTTCAGGTCGAAGTCTGACATGATGCAGTTGCCTCTTCTGTCAGCATCCTCGCACTGGAGGCTTTTATACTCGCCCAGCTTCTCGTTTCACCGCATGATGGCGCTCTGTCGGTGCACACACGGACTCCCCAGTGTTGATATATTATTGTCGTTATTAAAGCAGATGCCCCACTAACCAAGTTTCAGATGTCAGTACTCTTGGCTGAGCTTCATTCATATACCCCCGCACCCACCCTTTTTTGATGTAATCCAGATTTAACTTTAATTTTTAAAGATAAATTGATCATATTTTTATAGATTTTCTTGCCTTCAAGGGTTTTTCAGTGTCCATTTCAACATTAGAAAATCAGAAAGCTTTCAGTCTTTTTGATGCTGTTAGTGGAAGAGCTGTGTGCGTGCATGTGTGTGTGTGCACTTGCGATTTGCATGTCTTATAGGTCACTGTTGGTATTCGCACAGTGTGTCGCTGGGATCTAAACTGAGTGCGTTTGAGAGAAAAGACATAGTGCAGCAAATATTTTCTCCAGCACCTTCATATTAAAACAGTCTGTAACTTTAAAAAGAAGAGATCTCAACATCTTAACCTCAACCAGTTTGCTCCAAATGGTATTAAATAATTGATCCTTGTTCCTAAAACTTAGTAAAAGGGGGCAAATATAAGAGCAGCTGGGACATTTGGAAGAAAGTGTATCCTTTCCTTTTGGTTTCTTTTCCTGTTTTCACAAGCAGTTAATCACAAATTCAGATGTTAATAAATCATATTTTGTACACAGTGCTGACATGGAAAGAAATGCAGATGTGGTTGATGTCTGACCCACCAAATCTCCCTCGTGAAGCCGCTTGTTGTCATTCTGCTGAGGCTTTCGAAGATGCTTAAAAATTCAGCTTTCATTTAAAAATAAATGGATGGGGAGATTCTGACTCTGTTGGGCTTTTCTGACGTGTTTTCGACTATAGTCCAAATAAGTGCAAGTAAAGCTGAGGCAAACTTTGGTTTGTGTGTGTAGGGATCAGAGATGGGCAGACTGTAATCTGATTACTTTTTTCAAGTAACGAGTAAAGTAAGGGATTACTATTGCAAAAACGGTAATTAGATTACCGTTATTTTCCTGTAGGAACGCTGCGTTACTGCGTTACTAAAACCGTGATTTTTTTGCAAGAATGTCTCATGACAGTGACGTAGGTGAGTGCGATGTTCGTGACAACAGCTGTGTGCAGATCAACAGTGGATCATATATCCAGTGCAGAGAGAGTATGAGCTGCAGTGTTAAAGCGTGGAAGCACTGACCTTATTTTGAGTTTGATTCCATAAAAAGTGACAAAAACATTTGTGTCGGTTGTGCGTGGGAAGAAAACTTCTTATTACAGCGAAAAAAAAAACCCTAAACAAGCACCGAGTGCGCAATGACCTAATGTGAAATTCACAGAGAAGCTGCCGTATCCTTCCACTGACCGCTGCGGCACACCTGCACCAGAGCACACTTCCGTCTACCCTACTCCTGCTTTACAGGTGAAAATAGAGCAAAAGGAATGCTGAGTCTTTGATTTTATTTATTTTCTGCTGTGTTTTACTTGCATCTATTTGAAAGACTGAGTGTAAACACACAAAAAAATAATAATTATGTGCTGGACTGTGCAGAAAATAGGTTTAAATATTAAACAAATTTCTTCAAGTCAGAGAATGTTGCATATAATTAAATTTTTGCTTGATGCATAAAGTTAAAAGATTAAAACTAATAAAACAAGTTAAAAAAAGAGACTTTTCCATTTGATTACATTTTGTATGATGATTTATGCAGAAAAAGTAGAATTGGGCTGAACGATCTATCGCTTTATCACCTATTCAGGTTGTAAATCGTGTTTTTTAAAAGTAACTAAGTAATTAATTACTTTTGAAAATAAGTAATCAGTAAAGTAACGGGATTACTTTTTTGGGGAAGTAATCAGTAATTAGTTACTGATTACTTTTTTCAAGTAACTTGACCAACACTGGTAGGGATAATGTGTAAGGGTGAATATTTCTGTCTGATGAAGGTGAAAATACTTTACACTGACTGTGTTACAATGTAAATTTGTGCCCAGACACGGTTATAAAAATGAGCTCTTCTTTAGTAATACATGCAGTTATTCAAATACAAATTCTTGGCCTGATCGAGGGCGTTTCGTCAATGTCATTCTTTGGTGGAGAAGATGATTTGAATTCACGCTCTAAATGCCGTCCTCAGAGCTGCTGCAATGCAAAGAATATGATGGCAGTGGAAGAAATGCTAATAAACCTCTAGATTAAATTAAATTTAGTTCAAAGGAGAGAAAAATCAAATATACATTAAATGCCCCAAGAATTTAGCCGGTTAATGTTTAAACAGTAAATGTATGTAAGGTTGCGCAGGGATAAGAATTAAAGAAAAGACACTGAACAAACTCACTGAAAAGGGTGAAGGAGCTCAGGCTGCTGAGCAAAATCAGCCTCATCTGCTTTCATGTTTGTCATCATTAAGTCAGAATTATGTGCTCATGTTTGTGAGTGCAGGTTAATTATTCTGCAGCTATGCTCAGATGTTCATGAAGCCCCATCCGGACAGCCTAACCTTCTAAAATTATCTGAGCAATCTTCTCCTCCTGCAACCTCTTTTCTCCCTCGGGTAGCAGCACCTCTGCTCAGCTCTGAGATCCTGATTGAATTTCCACCTACATCTTTAACTCTTTATCATTACAACACACTGCCTAACCTGCCTCATCAATTATTCATTTCCGACTCCTAGCCGCTGTGTGCGTATAGTGAGCCCGTAGTTTTGAGCTTGGTTTGCAGAAATATTTATTTATTTATTTCGGTTATTCCACATTCTCTGCTCAGCGAGAGCTCTCAGGGAGAAAGGCTCGATGCACGGCTGCCAGGAGATTAAAAAAAACAGTGAGATGATAAAGCCACATTTCCACTACGCAGCTCCACCGACAAAGACAAAAAAAAATATCAACTGTGTAAAAATATAAACCAAAAAGAAGTATTCAAATTATAGAGTTGAAAGCAGATTTGAGTGCACAGCTGTGCTTTGACGGAAATGCCAACAGTGTTTCTTTTAAAAGTATTGTGTAAGTATATGAGGCAGAAAACTGCAGCTGAGTGTGATGGGCATCAATTTTGCAGATATTTGATTGAAAGTATAAAGTGCTGTGGAGAAATTATAGTGATATTATATATGTTTTTTGTATATGTTCTTTTTTTAAATGGAAGTTTATGGATATATTGCTAAACTGTAATTGGTAAAATTCAATGACTGGTTAAAAAATATGGAAAAAAACCATCCATAAAAATGAATACGGAAAAATAATTTATTGTAAAATGGTACATTGTGCTATTTTTCATTGATGCTTTTTGGGGGGTTGTTTTTCTGCTTCAAAATTGCATTTATTGTATAATTAATTACAAATTTGTCAAGATGTTTCATGCTCACCTACAGAGACAGATTTCATAGTTAAGAACAAAAAACAAAAAATAAACCTTCTGATAGAGGTACTGCACTATGGCCCAGGCTATAAAACAGCTCATCCCCCACACAGTACTGAACAATGCTGTGTAAGTACTACAGTACAATGGGGTAGATCAGGTAGCCAAGGTGTCCCACCTCAAGTTGTTCTCAGATCCTTCTGTTAGAAACTTTTACATCAACAACACTTACAGAGTCCTCTGTGCCTTCTTTATGTGAACATAATCCATAACATACTCACCATTTAAAAATAATCACAGTTCAATTCGTTTCTCTTTTCCTTTCCAACAGCCAGTTGTTACTCCTGACTTAAAATCTACTACTATTGTATTTTCAGATTAAATTGTTCCAGGTTTGCAGCTGTAGAACATTTAAGCTGCTCATCTCATTTCATCTCACCAGAAAAAGGCACTTCACGTCGATCTGTAAACAGTCTTTAGTTACATATCCACAATTACAGTAAGCGATATTTTTCTTTCTCAAAAATAATGATATGAAACTGAAACCCACTTTCCTCTGGTGTTCTGACAGCCGGCTGTGAACCTGAAGCTTTTATTTGCTCATTGAGTCATATTTGTCATTTTTGTTTTCAAAATATTGTCTCATTAGTTTTGCAAATCGGTTTTCCTCGACACAGGACACATGGTATCGCTGGAGGAAGGAAACAAAACAACAACAAAACTTTCAGACGGGTCCAAAATTCACTGGAGAAAATGGGAATTCACACCCGGCTGATCCTGCCAGTAGCAACCTGTCTCAAAGATTTAACTGTCTAAGCCTCAGCACACACACACACACACACACACATACACACACATATACACATACACACAGTGAAAAATGCAAATGCATCATTAAATTACTGCGCAGAGCTCCTACTGAATGCACCACAGATCATGGTATATATTCAAAGAAAATAATAAATCACAGTAGTGAGCGTGCATGTGTATTTAATGTGTTTGTATTTAACAGGCATCAGCTGCACAGGTATGATCCAGCATACATGATCCAGCAGGTGCTTAAAGGCTTTTTATTCAGAGCAAAATGAAAAATGATTACATCCACGTCAATGACCTCTTTACTGGCCTTTGCGAAAGTGCATTCCTGAAACACCTTTCAAATGGATGTTTATGTGCAGGAGCAGCCTCTCACCCAGCCTCTGTAGTGAAAAGCAGATGCAGAGAAGCTTTTAAACTACCCTGTTGGGGGCTGCACTCGCAACCAAACTCACACCCCTGTGCCACGTCTTTCTTGTTAGAATAAATCAGTGAAGGTCCTTGTGCCTGTGATCTTGATGGCGAGAGAAGGGGACGTCTGCTTTGGGGAGATCTGTCCAGGGCCTAATCTTCTCTGTCAGATTGCGCAGGGCTTCAAAGCCCCTGGTAACGCAGAGGAGAGGAAGAGGAAGAGAAGGAGGTGGAGGAGGAGGGATGTCTCGGGCATCATCCATCGACTGCAGGGAGCGGGACGGCACTGAGAGACAGAGATGCGGTTGAGAAGAGTGAGTGTGTGTGCATGAGTGAGTGTGCATGGACGAAAAAGAAAAAAAGAAAGCAAGATTGGCCATGCATGATGGCTACAGACCTTTGGTCTCTGCATAGTCTGCCTGACTGAGCCGGCTGTAAGGGTCTGGTCGAAGATTTGAAGAAATCAGCAGAGAGAAGGAGAGGAGCAAGACCTGGATGTAAATACAGACAGATGGACAAAAAGAGGTCAAGCATAGAAAACACAGATCAGAAAGAAGAAACTGAGTAGGTTATTACGCACACAACTACATAACATTTTGCACAACCGGTGCTTCTCTGACTCATTTAAATATTCAAAGCATTCACAGCCGCAGTCCTGCCGGTACAAACACTCGCACGCCTTGATGTGCTTATGAACTTTTAATGTTTACTGTATTTCTTTGTTACAATTATGACTGCCTGAAAAATTACATAATGCTCTATCTCACCAGGATGCAGGTTGCTTTCTGTCTTGTTTTGCTGGGGCCATTAGGAAGGAGAGCCTGTAGCCGGCTTAGCTGCTCCAGCAGAGCACTGCAACACAAATCCAGACAGAAAGATGAAAGAGGCTGTGCAAAAGTTTCACATAAGGGGTCTCATCATTTCCAGCATCTGTGATCACTCTCGCAAAAAGGAGAGAGAGAGAGAGAGAAGGACAAATTGAAGGAAGAGTGTGTGTGTGTGTGTGTGGAGCCTTCACACATTTTGTTTTTACAAGCAGCAGTCTGCCAGCGTCAGGGAAAAAAGAATAAAAAAATCAGGACAGTGAAATTGCCGAGTGAAAAGAAAAGTTGGAAAAGCTGTGTGAAGATTTGGAATGGTATGCACTTTGTATGCTGGTAATTTTACTCTCAGGCTCTTCAGTCCTGAATCTTTAACAGGCAGAACGGTTTGGCCATTTTCAGCCGTGACTCGGTTTCATGAAAGTGGTGTCACAAAAGATGTCGTGGAGATTTATTTTGTGCAGCTAGCTCTGTACAAGCCCCGCATCCAGGTTTGATTAATCCTGCTGCCTTATCTGTTCAACCGGTAGGGACTTTGATGGGAAACAAATGTGAGGGTTTGCAATTATGCCGTGTTTTCATATGGCTGCACCTCCTCAGCCTGGCCATTGTTAAATGTACAACACCCGGATGTTCTGACATATATATGGTCAATCTTAATTTTTTCTGTCATTTCTGGATTTAGGCTTCATGAAACAGGCCTTATGGTGTCATAGCCTTGAGATAAAGTGGTTTAGGCCATGAACATAATACAAAATACTATCAGACATAATCCCACTAATGAAAACACAGTAGCTAAATAACTGAAACAGGGAAATAAACTGAAAAGACATCTGTGGTGCTATTTTTACAGGAGCAATTGCTGCAGAGCTAAAATAGCCATTCTCTAAAATCTAACAGTGACCATTCGATCATGCCAGAGCTCTGAAGCTGTGCCCTGACTGTGCCTGAGCCAGGATATAGCTTCCAAAGCTTCAGAGACTTGGACTTTTCCAGACCATATGTTGAAGTGTAGTGCACTGGGCTGTAGTCATGGTAACTCTTTGCTTTTCATTGCAACTTTCAAAAGCAAGTCCTGGATGTTGTCACGGGTAAAGCTAATCAGGTGTGTTATGTTCTTTACTGTATTTTCTGGACTTTAAGCTCTCCATCATTATACAAAACACTGAGTCGTCCAGGCATCTAATGCCAATAATCATCAGGTTAAACTTTTGTTGCCTGACTTAAGGACTCACTTGTTGGTCTCCTCCAGCTGCTGGATCTTTCTCTGCAACTCGAGGTTGTGAGCACCACATGCAGACATCCTACAGAAAGAGGAGGAGGAGAATGAGGGCAGAATCGTATTAAAAAAATATCGTTTTATGATGTTGCCTCGCCTGCCCTCCATTTCTCTCTCTGCCAATATCAGCCTGCTGACTGTTATCGCAAACCCCATTCTGTCATCCAGGGACTCCACCCCCTTTCTTCTTCTGGTGTCTCTCTTGTTTGGTTCAGTCACTGTGAGTCCATTATGCCTTCGACTGATAATGACACCCTGTTGATACGCTCTGCTTGAATCTGGTTTAATTATCAACGAATGCTGACTCTGGGAGAGACAATCTCACTCTGCCATGAAACTTTTGTTATCAGGAGGCAGCAGAGCTCAAGCTTGATTGAGATGTTGATAGCATGTAATTAGATATATAAACCTCCTGTGTTACATCAGTAAGACATTTTCATTAGTACGCAAAACACACAGACAATTTTCACATTTCAAATATTTACTAAAGTGACAGTACATTTGTGTTTGGCCATTTTTAAAGCTCAAACTGTGTATTGGCTTTATCCCACCCTCTACACCCGTGGTCCAAAACACCTCCATTCATTCTCAATCGACTCTTTTATTCTGACACAGATCAGTAATGGCAGGTTTTAAAAGAGTCCAGCAGTGCGAGGGAGTCAATCTTAAGAACCACATCAGAGTGAAACAATTTCTAAAAATACCCCCAAAAGAAGCTGATGAACGATAAACCTAGGGGGATTTGACAAACAAAGGAATTTGGGGAACATTGCTGCATTGCGTTTCTTTGAGGCGAGTCAAATTACATGCTCGACCACGCAGCGCTGTTTGTGGAGGTGTGATGTGGTTGAAGCGCCAGTCTGTGGGAGGCAGGTGGGATTAATAAATTTGGTGACAAAGGCTTGCTGGCTGTGTGGTGAGGCTGATTCCGAGCAGCCTCGAGGTAGAGAAGGAGGAGGAAGACTGACGCAAAAACCTGCTTGCTGTTCTGGGTTGTGGCATCATGTTTAGGAATAATCCACTCTCTCTCCTGACTACATCTGTGAGTTTGCGTGTATGCACAATGAGAAAGTGGTCCAGATCGACCGTAAGTGTTTTGGTGCCCCACAGTGGAGCAGTTATCACAGTATGGTGGGTATTCTGAGTTTCTTTACAATGAATGTAGAAACTTTCAGGTCTTTGACTATACTGAACACCTATTTTTTTTCTCATAAACAATATTAAGATCTCTAAGAGGTCTTAAATTGAGTATATACAACCTCAGATAAACTGCAAACCGTGACATATTATACTATGTCAATAAAAACTAAGTCAAAGTGCAAAGAGCATTAAAAATTAGCCGCTGCTGCAATGGTCCAGTCAAAGTCCAGACCTTGACCTGTTGAAATGTTGTGGTGAGACCTTAAAAGATCTGTGGATGAATTTAAGAAGCAACACTGTAAAGAAGAGTGGGGTAAAGTTCCTTCACAATGATGGCAGAGACTAATGAAGTCATACAGGAAACAGTTACTTGATGGTATTGCTGCTAAAGGTATTTCTACAAGCTACTGAATCACTGGGTGTGCTTAGTTTCTCACAGGACTGTTTCTGGATCTTGGTTTAGTTTTTTGTCACAACACAGTTTAATGTGAGAATGTTGTTGTCCTTCTCAGATTAAATTTACCTACATTTAAGACCACGTAAAGACTAGATCATATTTTTTTATTATACCCTGATATATAACCTTAGAACTGAGAGAAGGCTCACTTTCTTTTTTTTCCACAACAGGAGTATGAATATATATTATTCTCTGCATTATTAAAACATCATCTTTTTGTGTGTTTGTTCTTACTGAAGTGCCGTTGGCATTATAGGCAGTAATGCAAGTTTGTTTTTTGTTTTTATCTAAATATTCCTCCAATGAAAAAGAAATTCTCTTTTGCAGCAATCTCTTGAAAATGGTATTTCTTTGTGTATCCAGATCTTTATTAGTGAATAAATAAAAAAATAACAAGGTTTATGTCTTTCATTTTGGGCTGCTTCACTGGAACTGAATTTTAATGGGTTGTATTTCTTTTATCAATTTTGGCACTATATAATTTTTCTCTTGAATAAGTTTCTGTAATTAATTGGTTTTGCTGGAGGCAATGACAACTACTGCTGCACAGCTCTCCTTCTTCTTTTTTTTAATTCAAAACACCTCACTAGTGTTGTTTGAGGTTGTTATACAATTGTTTTTTTGAGCTTCCTGTGAGGATTTTTTTTTTTTCAGGGAACTATTTGACAAATACCAGGAAATATGAAGTGTGCTTTACTTAATGAACAACAAAACACTCACTGAATCACTGAAAAACATAAAAAAAATCCAAAGCAGATGATTAAAAAAATGTTTCCTAAGTTGGTGCAGAGATAATGTCATACCTTTCTTCCAGGCTATCGACATATTCCCTTTTCTTCTTCCGACTTTCCTGAGCTGAGCGCTTGTTGCGGATTTTCCGCCGGATCTTTTTCAAAACTCTCTCTTCAAACTTGTCAGGGAGATGAAACACATGGGAGACCAGGACAAGAGAGAATAAAGAAAAAGGTATGTAAGATGAAACTAGGTTGAGAGAGAGAGTGTGTGTGTGTGTGTGTGTGTGTGTGTGTGTGTGTGTGTGTGTGTG